AAAAGGGAACTCGCATGACGCATGCTTAGGGTATAGGGATAACATTAAGAGGTATTAAAATACAGGACAAGATTGAGATCACTTAAAGAATAGCTAGGATCGCAAGGCCCCAACAAGTTGCTAATGGTTTGAGAGCTAACGTTAAGGGACGGAAACTCGTTGCGAGTTGATATGCCAAATAAGAAGTAACCTGCAAGCGCACATCCACCCCATTAAGGTGGATTGAATCCCCCATGGTTGACTTTAAAAATCGCATAACCAATCAGGTTGCAGCGTTTTCTAGTACTTCGCTGACCAATTATCGTTTAGCAAATTCTCATTGGCTAATTCAACTGAGGAACAAAGGCGAACTATATAAACAAGGTCCAGCGTACAAACGCTGTTCACGTTGTATACCTAGCGTCTGTACTCTTATAATGTCTGGTCGTGGCAAAGGAGGCAAGTCCCGCAATAAGGCAAAGAGTCGTTCGGCCAGAGCTGGCCTCCAATTTCCCGTTGGCAGGGTGCACCGCCTCCTGCGCAAGGGTAACTACGCTGAGCGCATTGGTGCCGGAGCCCCGGTCTATCTTGCCGCTGTTCTTGAGTACTTGGCCGCCGAGGTTCTCGAACTCGCAGGGAACGCGGCTCGCGACAACAAGAAGACTCGCATCATTCCCCGGCACCTTCAGCTCGCCATACGCAATGATGAAGAGTTGAACAAACTACTCGGTGGCGTCACCATTGCTCAAGGTGGTGTGCTGCCTAACATCCAGGCTGTTCTGCTCCCCAAGAAGACAGAGAAGGCCGGCAAGTGAAGCCCCTCACCTCGCAAGGCTCTCGCTAGTGAACGTGACACCGGCCCTCTTCAGGGCCAATAAGCCGATTGTCATGATATTGTAAATACTATTTCGCATCAATTCACCTTGCGCTACATGCTTGTGTTTTTTTTCGGGGCGCGGGTCGCGCTTGGTGCGCCAGTGTTTTGGACCTCGAAAATCGACCCAGCAAAGCCTATTTCAGCTTTAGTATATGGTCAGCTCTACGCCGCCCTTTGGCGTGCTTTAATTTCGGAGCCGACAAAACTGGCAATAACTTGACCCCTCCGATTCGAGTCCTTGATTGAACACGGCTGGTTCATTGGGCAAGTCTACGTGTCCAACCTGGGCTTCATGTGGTGCGGATTGTGCTTCTGCACGGTGTGGAGATAACCCCTTAGCTAGTATTGACTATCGTCTATTGGTTGTTCCTACAGGTCCGAACCGCGAGCATCTCTCGAGCCCCTCACCTGATTTGCCCGTTCCCTCGTTGCGCCCCTGTTTTCTGCTTTCGACGGTCATTCTTTCTATGATATCGTCAGTTGAGCCAAATACATAAGTTCTGTTACTGGAGGAGCTCGAATCCGTGCGTTTACTGGTTAACTTTACTGCATACTAATCGAAAGTCGGTTTAGATGAATCTCCTGAGATAACATTGTTATAAGAGTTTTCATTTCATACGAAAGTGAATCAAGAAATGATTCGTCGGTCGATTCCACCAGATCAGGACGGATGAAACTCCTACTGCAGCCATTTTGCTTTATGCGATTTCGTGTCGATCCAGTCCACGAGACGTAACCTTTACTATTGCATATAGACACTAACACTTACAAATATACATGCTCATACAATCGAGCAAAAATAACAGGGTTATAAAAATTAACCAAATTACTTTATATCGATCTATTTAGAGTCGATTGAGTCTGTACAAAAGGTAAGATAGAGCCAGGTAGTATTTTTGCTTTGGAGGTGACGTGCGATTTTTACACCTCTGATGATGTCCATCATATGATGGACTAAAGCCCAGAATTTTTTCACCCAAAATGAGGAAGTCTCATGGACTGCGTCAACATTAGTATCCTATAAAAGCCAAACGACTGCAATACCACGAGATTCATCCGTCCTCATCTGGTGAGATAGACCAACGAATCTCTTCTTAACGCACTTTCACTTGAAATGAAGGTCCCCTAACATTAAATTTAATAGATTTTTGAGTCGAGTTTGTTGACCTCACGTGATTGCTCGTTACCATTATCTGCCGTTTGTCTCAAATTTCCCATCTTGGGTAAAGCTAACTCTTTATACTTGAGTCTATTTATTTAGCGGGATTGATACATTTATTTCCATTCTTTCATCAATCGGAGGACAATAAATTTTAATTGCCTCGATGGGATTTCCGAGTATTCTTTTAGAGCTCGCCTCTTCGATCGCCTTGTTGTATGCCATCAAATTGTCCAGGATGTCTTTTTCTTCCCATGATAGCTAGGGTAAACGAACACAAGAGATTACGTTGAGTTCCGTTTACTCTTGCAGTATACTTCTACTTACCTTTCCTAGGATAACTTTCATTTCGTTTACTTCTGGTACTCCAGGCACTGGTACAGAGTTAATTTCAATACTTTCTTTAAAAGTTTTCACCATTCCAACTGTGTCCTCTCCTATTCTGCCTGGATAAGAAAGATTTAAAAAATATAAAAATATGCTTATCTTAGAAGTCAATTGTATCATTATCTTGAGATGTGATTATAGGTAGCATAAACCAACCGTTTTTAGATGTCGGTAACAGTGATCCGACAATGTTTCGTATTTTCTTCAGAAATGGTGACATATCGACATGGCACACTATGTCATCGAATTCCTCTGAATGAATTGCCCCAGTTAGGAGACGCTGGATTAGGTCATTCTGTCCTGCACTCACTGCTCCAGCCTTCAGACAAGCTTCCACATCATTAGCATCCTGAATTTTAATGAAATTAAAGATAAATATTAAAGTATTTGCTGAGAGCGATC